GTGTGTGTGTGTGTGAGTGAGTGAGTTAGTGTGTTCGGACCGTGTAGGCCTTGTCCACGTCTCCTCTGGTCTGATGGATGGCTCTGGCGGCGTCTCTTTTACTGAAGCCCAGCTCCACCAGTGTGTTGATGTCCTGCAGACGGCATCTCCTTTTCTCCCGCTCGCGCTCCTTCAGCTCCTTCTTCTCCTGATGAGAGATCAGCTCATGTTTAACTGTGAGCTCACGTGAGTAAAGGCTGTGGTGATTTATGAACAGGGTTGTGCTGCAGCACCTTCTTCCTCTGTGAGATGAGCCGCTCTGCCTCCTCCACGTCTCCTCGACAGGCTCTCAGACCCAGACGTGCCTCCTGCTCTGAGAAACCCAGAGTCATCAGCCGGAGCATCTTCTCAGGGTCCAGACACAGCTGACCGAGCAGCTCCTCCACCTGATCGACACACACACACACACACACGAGTCACATTCTACAAGAGTCAAATTACTCATATTCTAGAAGAATCAAACAAGTCATATTCTTGAAGAATCAAATTAGTTACATTCAGGAAGAATCAAACGACTCATATTCTAGAAGAATCAAATTACTCATATTTTAAGAATCAAAAGTTGTATTATATAAATATCAAAATAATTATATTGTATAAGATTCAAAGTGTCATATTCTAAAAATTCATTGAGTCTTATTACATAAGTATCAAATGAGACATTCTATAAGAATATATATATATACAGTGGTGTGAAAAAGTGTTGGCCCCCTTCCTGTTTTTTAAATTTTTTGCATATTTGTCACACTTAAAAGATTCAGATCATCAAACAAATTTTAATATTACACAAAGATAATGCAAGTAAATACAAAATGCAGTTTTTAAATGATTATTTATTTTATTAAGGGAAAAAAGCTGTCCAAACCTGCCTGCCCCTACGTGAAAAAGTAATTGCCCCCTAAATCTAATAACTGGTTGTGCCACGCTTTGCAGCAACAACTGCAATCAAGTGTTTGTGATAACTGGCAATGAGTCTTTCACATCGCTGTGGAGGAACTCTGGCCCACTCTTCTTTGCAGAATTGTTTTAATTCAGCCACATTGGAGGGTTTTCGAGCATGAATG